AGGAATATAATGACAATTTTGAGCTCATAAAGTCTAACACATTTGTAAGGTTGTAAAGACATATATATTTGTGACCAGTGGGAGATTGTTGGCAAATTTTGGGTCATGTATATATATGATACATATTTAAATGTGTTAGGGTCATTATTTATTAAGCCAAATAATAAAGTGATCTGAATAAATTAAAGTTTTGGCTAAAGGCATATGTCATGAAAATATGATTGTGTAGAGACCATAGAGTAATTTCTAATTTGATGAGGGGCCAAATTGAAAATACTAAAACTTAAGTAATTAACCTAATTTTGGTTATTTAAAGGGTCATGGTCCCCTTCTGAGAGCACACAGACAGAACGTAGTTACAGTCCCGTTCCTTTCTTTCTATCCCCATCAAGAAAGAAAATCAAGAGGGAAATACAGGTGCTCTTCAGGTGGAAGACCATAAGATAAAAAAAAAAAAGGTGTTCTACAAAGGATATCGTCATTATGGCCAATTCAAGTACGCTTTCGCATTTAGTTTATAACATGTTTACAGCATGGGATTATAAATATATGTTTGATCATTAGAATGGATATCATATTCAATTACAATTTAACCTAACATAATTAGTCAAAATGGTTAAATGCATTGTCTTTGATAGTTCTATTGAATATTTGTATATTTTGTTTTCACGATTATCTAAAGAGCATTTGATTTGGCTCTCTAAGGATCTTTCCTTCAGATTTATTTCCAAAACTCAAGGGATCCGAATGGTTTTTGTAAACTACAAATAATTTTAGAGGCTCTCAACGGGCTCATAATCTCTATTATCTCCATATTGGTGGATATTCTTGATTTGAATTATTGCCTAGACACATGCATATGTTGTTTCCATCTCTTATAAAGTTACACACATTTCATTGTCCAGTACTTAAGTCATTTCCCAAGGAAAGTTTGCCATCAAATCTAACAGTTATTTCCTATCTCAATACAATAATAGAAGTAAAAAAAAAATCAAAAGAAAAAAGAAACACAAAAGGAACAACGACGGACGAAACATGAAAACAATTATAATGAAGTTGTAGTTATTCAATGAAGTTCAAAATCTTTTATATATATATATATATATATATATATATATATATATATATATATATATATATATATATCATTTAAGCATCTTAAAAAGTGACAATCACCTAAAAAAATATGATTACACTGTGACAAATCACCTAAAAAAATTATTACACTTACTAAGATACATAAAAAAAATTATTATTATTAATTGATTTAATCTATCTTAATGATTAATATAAATGGCAAATCCTAAATTGAGAAACTAGTTTACATTTTGATATTTTTTTTAAAACTAAATAAACATTATTTTACACTTTTAAAAACATGAAAAGATATTTAATCTTATATAATAGTTTTATATTTTTATGATAATTTAAAATGTTAATTTACTCTAATTATTTTTATTGTATTTTAAAAATGTGATCATCATATTTATTTTAAAAACAATCAATTAAATCTTTAACAAGATAAAATTGTTATATTTAATAAATTATTTAACTCCAATATTTTAAAAAGATATTTGTAAAAGTTTGATAAGTTTTAAGAATTAGTTAGAATAAAATTAAAATTCCAAGTGTTTGTTTGAAAAATAGATAAAGTTAAAGGAGCAACTAGATTAAAATTTACTATACCTATTTGTAAACGGGATAAACTTTGAGAATTAATTAATATTAAAATAAAAATATAAGGTTTTATTTATAAAAAATGAATATTAAAAAGTTTAAAAACTCTTAGTATTAATGCAATAGCTAACGTCATTAATGTAGTTTTTATATGTCTATTAAACTTGTAAACAATTAAAATTTAAATATGAAATATCTACAATATGCTATAAAAGAACTACATACATTACACACATTAAAATGAAAATAAGAACAAGTGTATTATTCAATTGTTGATAATCCACCTTATAGTAAAAATAAGAAAAATAAAGTCACCAAATACTCTATGAGTGAAGATAAGCCCAACTTAAAAGTAGAAACATGCTTAAACTATAAGAACATTTTCAACATAAATGGTTACTTAAGATCTAATAATTGAAACACGTTGATATGATATAAAAATAGTTTTAAATTTAAGACATGTGTCTTCTATAAAAACATAAGTATTTGAATAAAAATTATTTAATTATATCATTTAATTAATTTCTTACATTATAAAGAATTAACTGTAAATAAAAACTTATAAATTATGTTGACATTTGTTAAAAACAAGTAAACATGAGTTCAAATTAATTTTTTTATTATGATATTTATATATACTTGTTTTTTCTACCTTATTCTCTGAGTACTATATATTATTAATTATATGTCTTGATAAAAACTCAAATATCCCATTCTATTTTATTTTCTCGTTAACTTCTCTATTCGATACCCCTCAAGCTTTAGATATACCTATTTTGTTCATAACTTTAGTTCTAGTCCAGTTAAAATCAATTTGGTCTCACAAATGTATTTTTTGTTAGGATGTTTTCAATCTTAAAAAAGTATAAGTATTACTCGCCTTCCCTTCGCCATTGTTTGAGTTCAACTTTTACATCCTCCTTAACTCATCATTCGTCATTGTTTGAGTTCAACTTTTGCACCCTCCTTAACTCATCATTCTACTTTGCCTCTAATATTCTCTCTTTGAATGTAGTTCAAACCCCACCACTATCATCACCTCACTTGTCTTTAATCACATGTCATATTCAATAAACCACCTGATCCATCACCACCAGAAGAACCATAATCAATAATATTGACAATGTTCACATCTTCCAGTAAGACCAGCTAAGTGACTTTTCTCCGGTGCCAACTCCTACGCCCTTCTCAGCCCTATCACCTGAGTATGATATTATTTTTCATAAAAGTACACACTTCACTCATAACTTTATACCTTGTTATATTGTTATTACTTATCACTATTTATCTTTATCCCTTTATACTCATATTTCTTGAATGTCAAATCCTAAAACTATAAGTGATTAGTTGAAAACAAGTCATGCTTAATATATTATGCGTTCTTTAGGATAGTAAAACATGAGAGCTTATCCTTTGCACATCGGAAAATCTGTTGTTGATTTTATGTGAATTTTTACTATCAAAGTTGTCTGTGATGATATTATTGACCAGTTCAAAGTCTCTTTTGTCTTTAAAAATTATATTAAGATTATTGGGTTGGAGTATGATGACACTTCAGCTATAATTATCAAAATGATTTTAGTTCAGTTATTGCTTACCATGATTATTATTTATTATTTGTCATTTTATCAATTAGATTGTCAAAAATGTATTCTTTCATGATAATTTTGTATGAAGAAAATTTAAATCAAACAATTTTTTTTTTTTGCTTAGGAGGAGTATTATAAAATGATATTGTTCATTAGTGATAATTTGATCTCCTAAAAAAGTAAGGAGCAAAATATAGTAACTAAGTCTAATAGAAAAACATAATATAGAGTTATAATCATTACCACTTGTGTGATTATTGACTCAAACAATTACTTTAAAAACTCATATTTGAAGAGATCACACAAATGAATCTCATTTGTGATAATCAAGTTTTCTACATATTCTCTCAAATTCATTATATTCATAAAAGTGGCAAACACCATGAGATATATTGTGACTTCATCTGTGAAAAAATTGCTTTTAAAGATATTATTATTTAGTTTATGAATTTCAACTATGAATTAATAAATGTTTTCACTTAATCATTACAAAATCTTAAAATTGATAATATTTGTAACATATTTAGTTTATATATAATTTATATCTACTAACTTAAGAAAAATATTAAAGTTAAATAAATATATGGGTCCAAATTCATCTCTTTTTTATGAATATTTATATGTATTTATTTTTTTAATATGCATAATACATGTAAAGATTTTATTCATATATTTTTCTATCATTTAATTACCAACATTAATCATAACAAAACTTTTAACAATTTAGAAAATTGAATAGAATTTTAAAGTAAAATAATATCTCATAGCTAACATTTCCAGTGTTAGGAAACCTCGGATGGAGAACCTTCTTTGGATGCTTAATTAAATCTTATATATATAGTTCATTATTTATATTCTTTCCAATTTAAACACTTTTAGAAACACTCGTCTCTCTTATTGAGTATCTATCTTTGACTTTTAAAATGAATTAAAAAATCTCAAATCTTTACATTTCATCAATAATTTATTTATTAGGTTGTGCTTAGTATAAAAATAAAAAAAAATATTTTTACTATTTTTTAAAATATTTTTTAATAATACAGAACAAAATAAAAATTTATGAAAAATATAAGATCTAAAAATAATATTAAACTTTAAAATAATTCAGAGTTAAATTTTAGAATAACTCATATATTGGGTTTTGACAGCTGGACTTATATTTTAAGCAAATTCATTTCATTGCTGCTAGGAACAAATTATTCGTTGTTTTCTAGCTTTTCTATTTCTAAAATATAATATCTAAAAGTATTATAGTATTAATATCTGCTCAATGGTGATGGAATGAGACTAAAAATTTACCCATAAAATTTAATGATGGTAAGTGCAACTATAGGTATATTATAATATCCAGTCTACGTCTCAATATATGATATAATTATTTCATTAAAAGTATCTAGCATATATACGCTTTATTAAATTAAATTTAAGAATTATTAAAAACTTACTATAAAGAATGGTTATAATACTAATAATATATGACTATGTTTGGAGGATTTAAAATATTTTTTAATTACTTTTAAAATTTAATTAGTATTTTCAATTGATTTTATACTTACGTAATGACCTAAATGATGAGTGAAGACTACTTTTCTATTTGGAATTTAGGGAGAAAAAGAGGGAAATGTATGCAGTTTTAGAACCACCTAATTATACCAGAAGCTTAATTTTTGTAAACAAGTGATCGAATAGTCTAAAAAATCCGCTTTAATTTCGGGTAAGATCATGACAATATGATCACTTGAAAAGCCATAATCTGATGATCCATTCAAGCACAGAACAATAAGATATGTGCATTTTGTCTCGCTAAGAATAAACTACTTCGACTAGTAATCGATCTTGATCTTGTTGTTGATAAGGCCAAATGAAATTTGAAGCAAAATAATCGAATTCCAAAGCGTAGTCGATCACAGTTCAAAGAATAAAAGGAACAGTAAATCATCATATATTTGAACTTAAAATGCATAAAAAAGAACGCGAGGAGAAAGAGAAGAACCTTTCACGGACGTAAGCGATGGGAGCGAGAATGAGGAGGGCGATGAGATCGCGGAAGACGCAGAAGACAATTTGGTTTATCCCAACGTCAAGAGCCAATTTCGAGATCACGTGATAACCTCCGCTCAAAACCTGCACCATCACCAACGACGTGTGCGCTTTCCATATCTCACTCCCAAAAACTGTTCCCATTGCTACAACATTCAGCTTTTCTCACTTTGTTTCTTCGTTGAAACCCCGTTGATGCACAAATATCCATCCTATAAATAATAAATTAATTAACAATGTTTGTCATTTCTGATTCCGAGGCGGCGGAAACATAGCACAATTCCGTGTCTGCACGGTTGCACCACAAACTCTTCTAACCGCTTTTCTTTTCTAGTACAATTTTCTTAACACTATATTTTATTATATTATTAAGATATAAGACTTTTAAATTAAGTAAGAAATTAATAAAATTCAGATATAAAGTTGAAAAATATTTACTACGCAACGAAAATGGAAATATATTTAATGCTTATAAATGTTAATGCCCACCGTGCCTAACTTTCAGTTAACAATATCATTCAAATTTATTTATAAGTAGAGTTGATTTTTTTTTTTTTTACTTTATTGTTGAGTGCTATTAATGTGATGTGTCTCTATCTATTTACTATACTCTTTATATTTATTTGGTCCATTTTATTCACTAGGAGAATAATACATGTTGGCTATTATAATTTTGTTGGCTAAATATAAATGATTAAATTTACTAAATATACGATTATGCAAATATTCTATTTAAGGAATGAGGATGTTTTAGTATCATCTCTTTTATAATAATATTATTAAAATTAATTTTTATATTCAAAATTATATTTATTTTATAGTTTTTATTTATTATGATTTTTTATTTTAAAATAACGTCTTAACGAATTAAGAGATAACGTATAGGACCGAATATATTTTTAGTTTCACTATTCTCTTCCTTTAGTTAAAGCTTGTTGGGATTGTTTTTCTGCCAACCACCGTCAAAGTTAATTTTTTTTGTTGTTGTTGTGAATGCAGATTAAGATTATTATTATTTTTTTATCGATGCTAGTTAAGATCTTAGTTATTATTAGCATGATTTAATTATTTATTTATTTATTTATTTATTGATATTAACAATGATTATTTTCGATGTTAACGATACTATTTTGGTATTTATTTTTTTGTTTATGCAGATCGCGAACTGGACTGGTAGAAAGCCCATTATGTGGTGCATTAAAGTGTTTGAACTGAATTTGGTTATTTACATGGACCAAGCTACCACCTCTGCAACTTAGTTTTAATATGAATATACAATAAGAATATTCAATCAATTAGTTAACAATTCTATTTAAATGGAGATGTGGTACATGTATTGTAACAAGATATTAGAACGAAATGATAGTTAGGGAGAGAAATGAAGGTTAAATTACTTTTATATAAATTACAACTTTTTCAAGTTCAAAGAAAGAAACTACATAAAACATTTTTTATTACAATTTTATTATCAAAGAGATCTTCGTGGCAGACAATGATAACATCAAATTATGGTGATCTTCTTTCTTCAGATAAGAAAAAAATCATTTTAAAAGATATAATTAAATATTTGAACTATGTGATAAAAAATTAATTTTTAATATATAAATTATGCGGTGAATAAAATAAAATAAAATAACGCACACATTATAAGAATGGTGTGTCACAAAAAGAGATGCCTATGCATCTTAAACTTTCAGACAAAATTTAATGAGTGATTATTATACGCATACACAACTAACGAAATATATTTGAAATAAAATACATATGTAAAATTAAATAAAATTTTAATATATTTTAAATTAAGATAAAAAATTTAAAAATTATAAATATTTTTTTAGTTAATTAAATAATACTTTTTATGATAAATGTTATAAAATTTAATATTTTTAATAAATAATTAACTTTTAATTTTAAATTTATATTTTTATATTTAATAAATTAATGGATTGATATTTACATAATGAATTATTTTTTACACTTGACAGATAGATATTCATATTATTTATAATTTTCAAAGTATTTAATTTTAAACAATTTAAATATAAAATACATATTTTATTTAAATATAGAATAAAATATATATTTTATTTGCTTATAAAATAAAATAAAATTTAAATTATTTTAAATTATAATTTAAAAAAATAGTTTTTTATTTTAGATAACTTGTGAAGAAATAATTAAAAAGAGAAAATAAAAAAATGAAATGTAGGTAAGAAAAAATTATAATAATAAAAAAGAGATAAAAATGAGAAAAAAAATTAACTTAATATTGTAAACAAAACATAATGTAATGGGAGATCATTCATGATCTAAGGTAAAAAAATCACTCATGGATATCAAGAATAAGCAATTAGGTTATGGATGTGGTTTTACACAAATCGTGACAACCAATACTGAAGTGGAAAAATATATTATAGATAAAGTCTACTTATGCCTAATAGCATAATATCCAAAAGCTACGAAGATGTGATGTATCAATTTATAGAGATTTGATGTATCAATTGACACTTAATTTATCTTTTTCTATGATATGATGAAAGATATACAAATTTTGAGTTGTAACATTCCCAATAAAGTTAGTGGGAAAGGAAAAAAACTACTAGATAATTAGTATTTTCATATATAAACATGTGATTGTTATTCTTTTGAAACTGTAAGATGAATATTTGGAATTTGAGACTTTTGTCATGTAGTAGGATTTTGAGTTCTAGCTTTTTTTTTTTTATGACAAGAATTTTTAGGATTTTGTTTATTTTTTATACATAAATATATTTCATATGGATATATGTTTTATTCATGTGTTCTGTTTATACGATAAAATATCAAATATTAATAATATTTTAATAATAATTACTTAAATTAAAAGTTAACATGTGAATTTCTTTAGTGTAGAGTATGTTGATGTAAGGAGAAATTCCTCTTTTACTCTATCCTTTATGTAATCTTGATGATTTCTTTTGGTTTTGATTTGCATATATTTTTTATATGTCTCAATTGACCACATTTGTGACATTTCACATTAGACCTTCACCAATATTTATTGTGTGATCATTTGTCTTACAATAAGGACAAACAAAAAAAACATGTAATTTTATTGTTCTTAGCTTGGAGAGAACATTCATCATGATATAGTACATGTTAAGAACACAAATGTAATACAAGACGAAGGTAAATAACAAAAACACAAGAAATTTACGTATTTCAGTCAAAGTGACCTACGTCCATGACTGCATTAGATGATAATTTTCATTTACACACTTAGATTTACAATTACATGAGTATTTATAATAAAATAATAAGTAGATGAGTTAGACCCATTAACCCTTCAAACTCCACATACTTAACAATCTCACACTTGAAGGTTGATCACATCAAGCACACTCTAAAGTAAATCTAGTAAACCTTAAAATTATAACAACCTCAAACTAGTGCAATGTTTTCTCAACAATTAACCATGAATGTCAGTTGAAGTTATGCAAAACTTTAACTTATCAGTAATAACCACCTTGGTCAACATATCTGTAAGATTCTCTAACCCAAGGATCTTCTCCAAAAACAAAGTACCATCACTTATTAGTTCTCTAATGAAGTGATACATAAACTGGATGTACTTTGTTCTTGAATGAAAAACATGATTCTTTACAAGATGAATGACACTCTGACTATTGCTATAAAGAATATTGTCACATTGCTTCTTGCCTAGCTCCTCAAGAAAATTCTTCAACCAAATCATTTCCTTACTTGCTTCCAAAATAGCCATGTATTCTACTTCTGTGGTTGAAAGTACAACACTTTTTTCAAGTTGAGACATCCAACTAACTGTTGTGCCAACTATTGTGAAGACAAATCTTGTAACAATCTTCCTTGTATTTAAACAACTTCCAAAATCTGTACCGAAATATTCTTTCAAAATGACATTATTTCTTTTAAAATATAATGCAGTTTTAGAAGTACCTTTTGTAACCCCCTTCCATATTATATTTATTAATCCTAATTTCTTATCTAATGTAGTAATATATCAAAGTAATAGAAAATTTTAAGCGAAGTTCTTCATAAAGTCATACTTATTTATTATACAATCTCCAACCTATGCTCTGGATTTTTTTATTTTTTTTGCATCTGACATCTATCTCTTGAATTCTACATTCCCGCATCACACGTCACTAATATCTGGGATTGAAAATATTTATGGGGTTAGACATTTAATTTTATTCACAACAATTAAAACAAACATTCATACAATTAAATCAACCAATGAAACATTCATTCTAATAAGTTCATAACTACATATAAATATACAACCATATATAATTTAATTTGAAAATTAATTATGAGAAACAAATAAATCATATCATACAAATCATGAATAATCTACAATTTCATCATGCAATATGTTTATGATATGCACATGTGACTCAAAATGTAAAACTTTAAAATCATGCATTTAACTCTAAAAAGATCATATTTTACTCAATGCTCCATGGAGACTCATATGAGTGTCTAGTGGAACCAAAGCTTAACATCACCCTGTCAGGTGATTCGACAATGCTCCACTAAACGCGAACAAGTAGACAGTAGTCAGAGTGTCAGTGCACCCGACAGGCTATCACAATACAGAATCAAATAAAGACTGGTCACTTATGGGATTGCCCATGCCCAAACACTCCCTAGCCCAGAGGTCCAACCCCATAGACCAGAGGTCCTGTCTTACCTATTCTACTCCCCCATTTACTATCAGAGATTCTGGTAGCTCGATTCTTAATCATTCATTCTCATACATTATCTATCTCATATGGTAGACCATTTTCGTAGTCATATTCCGCTACCAGATGCTCTTGATAGTAAATTCTTAAGAAAATGACTCACAAAAATATGTTCAAAATTCTATTTTGCACATCATTGTTACTATCACCCGTCCTTGATAGCAACTTAATAGTAATTTCCAATACTTTTTTGTAAAAACTTTTATGTGACTTCCAGAAAACATTTCATGCACTATGTTTATGTCTTGTATGAAACAAAACAATCTATCATCAATTAAGTACTTAGAAACATCTCATTCATATATTCAAAATTTCAATTACAATTCATAGTTGTTTTAAACAAGATAATTTCTATTAATAATTTATGTCATACGGTTCAGT